GGTTCAATCCTACTGTTTCCTAAGTATATAAATTTTTTTTGAGATAATTGTGTATTTCTTGCACAAGCAATACTCTTAAAGACTAATAAAAGAAATTGGATGTGGTTCATTTATCATCTCAGGCCACAAACAGTATGCAATCTTATGGCTTCTCACAAGTTTCAGTAATCAGCAGTGTTTATAAAAATACAGTAATGTAACTCAGGTGTTTGAGTCAGGCTGCCAAAGTGTTTTTTCCTACTGCTGTTTAGTTTTGTGATTTTATGCATCTTGGTTTCCTCATGTGACAGGAGGATGATAGCAAAATATTACTATCTTTTAGGGCTATGGGATTTAATGAATTAATACATTTAAAGCACTTAAAAGAGTCCTGGCACATAAATACTTAATAAGTTTTAGATGGTATAATTGTCAATGTTCTGTAGTGTGATGGATGTCTTAATCAAACTTAACTATTTTGAGTTTTTCATTATGTCCTATGAAAAAAATCTCCTGGGAAATGACTAGCTTTGTTTAAAACTATTAGAAGGAATCTGTATCTTTTGCATTTTTATGTAAGTTATAAAGGGAGAAGATAAGCAGATAATGCTCCTTTAAAGGAAAGAGGTAATTAAATATAACTTAACACGTTCTACCTAGACAGGTAAAATTGTATGCATGTTTAAATGTAGTCAATGATTAATGAATAATTCTTTGAGATTGATGATATGTTACATAAAAATAGAGTAGTACTTGTAGTGTATTCAGTGCTGTAGCAGATCTTGAATTCCAACTCTTCAGGTTACCAGTAAATTATCACACATTGGAACAGTGAAGACTCATTCATGCTGAAAGCAAGAGAAAGGTAAAAGCATAATGTGCTTTACATCATAATGATTAAAGTGAGTTCTGTCTTCAACTTTCAAGTAACTGTCTTTAAAAACTTGTTTTGAGTGTACCAAGTAAAGTATAGTATGTGCCTAAAAACAAAAAAACTTAGCTATTTGGGCACATTTGGGAGAATGAACCAAATTACTTTGTGACTAGTTCATGCATAAGACTAAGAAAAAGAAAAAAATATGGGTAGATCCATATTATAACCCTTACATGCTACATGAATGGTAAAAACATATTATGGAATAAGGATTACAAAAGGTAAAAGATATTTACTACTTAGGACAATTAAGAAAGAAGAATAAAAATACAATAAAATATTACATAAGCTCAAAATAGCCCTAGCAGGCACTCTGTTCCTGCCTTGTGTTGTTTATCAATAGCTTTGTGGGAATAGAGAAAGAGAATTGAGGCTTTATGTTCAAAGTCACTATGCCCCCAACTCCCACTCATTGAGCCTTCACCCCGTTTGTTGGCTTGCTTGCTTAAGCAGAGTTTAATGATATAGTCATTTCATATTCAGAAAGCTTGACCAACATTAGTTATTTGGTCTTTTTTTTGAGACAGAGTCTTGCTATGTAGCCCAACTTGGTCTGGAACTCACTATGTATTTTAGGCTGGCCTCAAACTTGCAGTCTTCCTGCTTCACCTCCTTCCTGTTTGCTGGGATTACAGATGTTTACTTTCATGCCCAGTTAAGAGTATTAATGTCTTTGACCTGTTTTTTTTTTTTTTTTTTTTGGGCGGTACTGTGTTTGAACTCAGGGCCTCAAACTTGTTAGGCAGGCGTTCTACCACTTGAGCTACTCCACCAGGCCCCTTTTTTGTGTGTTGGGTATTTTCAAGAGGTGGTTTTGAACTGCAATACTCCTGATCTCTGCCTCTGAGTAGCTAGGATTGCAGGCGTAAGCCACCAGCACCCAGCTTGACCAGGCACTTTTAGCTGAAATTTACAGTGACAGTGTCTTTAACCTAGTGCAGTATCAGAAGTAGCAACATTTATGGCCAGTAGCCCATGACAGTGTCATGTGATATATATGTAGCCTTTTCCCTTTATATTATAAAGCTATCTGTCATGTAAATGCTTTAATTATCTCAATGTGGAATAAGTTTTTATTTTGAAAGCTCCTCATTTCCTTAGAATAATACATTAAATTGTTCCTTTTTTGGCTTTGAAATTGAGAATGGGAATTTTCTCTTGAATAGAAATGAATTAAATTTATCTCATTAACAATATTTGTCATGCTGTTCTGAATGTCTCCATATTAAGCATAATTATTTCAAACTCTCACTTTTCATGTTGAGATGTTTTATTCCTAGGGGAAGAAAGTACTTTTTAGTTCAAATGAGCCTTTTCTTATTGTTTTGTGAGTTCCCAACATTGTGTGTGTGTGTGGCAGGGGGGTGGCAGGATACTGGGGTTTGAACTTAGGGTCTCACACTAGGCAGGTAGTCTACCACTTGAGCCATTCCATCAACTACCACCCCCTCCATCCTTGTTTTTGACTTTATAAGCCACATTTCACTTTAAGTATTTTATTTTTAGGTTTTATGTATCTTTTGAGATGCAGTCTCACTGTGTTGTTGCCTAGACTGGACCTTAACTGGGTTTAGACAGTCCTCTTGCCTTAGCCCCCAAAAGTAGCTGGAAGTACAAGTGCATGCCACTGTGCCTGATTTTAAAAACTTTAGACTATAGATTGCAACCTGGTGACTTTTGCAGTATTTAAATTTTTAAAAAATTGCCAACACGTAAAAACTGGGAAATTTTATTAAAATTTCTGAAAAATCAGATGTGATAACATTGGGCCCATATTCTTACATTATAAAACTCAGCATGAGGAGAGAACTGTGCCCTTTAGGTGAGACACTCACTATTAACTTTACCACTATATACTTTTCCAGGAGTCACTGCTTCTTATAATTCAATGTGATCCTTCTCAGCATTGCAACCTGTCCACTCATGAGTATGTTTCTTGACATGTACTTATATCAGTGGAATTATCTGGAGGATAAGAAAAAAAGGCCCTGGTCTATTTATGCATCACTCATTCTTTTTTAAAGTTTCCAAACAGAACTTTACTTTTATGTTTTTATTCAAGGAAAAGGTATTACATTTTACAACTGCAACATAAATATGAGAAGAAAAACATAAATTCTTGAAACAAGTTACAATAATTTAAAAACCCAAATAAGTATTACTTTTCTTTTTTCTTTTTGGTGGTACTGGGGTTTTAACTTGGGGCCTCATGCTTAGTAGGCAGGTGCTCTACCACTTGAGCCACTCCACTCCTTTTTTTGTGTTAGATTCTGAGCTAGCCTTCAACCTTAATCCTCCTGCTCTGTCTCCTGAGTAGCTAGGATGAGCCACTGGGGCCTGGCTATATAAGGGCTTTTATTTATTTGTTTGTTTATTTTTGAGATGAGGTCTTACTTTGTAGCCCAGGCTAGTCTTCTGGTTCTCACTAGTAGCCTAGTCTAGCCTTGAGCTTTTTATTCTCCTGCCTCATCCTTCTGAGTACTAGGGTTACAGATGTGTGCCACCATGCCCAGCAGAAGGCTATTTATTCTAAAACAACTACTCAAAACTTTTTTTTAATGGTTTCTTTTCTTTTTGGAGGTATTGAAGTTTGAACTCACGCCTTTCTGTTTGCTAGGTAGGGGCTTTGTCACTCACCCGTATCTCCATACTAAAGCCTTTTTGCTTTAGTTATTTTTCCAGTAGGTCTTGCCTTGCCTGGACCACTATGCTATGTATGCCTTCATTGTAGCTGGGAAGACAGGCACACACCACCATGCCAGCTTATTGATTGAGATAGAATCTTGGGAAACTTTTAGCAGGTTGGCCCCAAAGCACAATTCTCCTGATCTTTGCCTCCTCAGTAGCTAGGGTTACAGGTGCAAATCACTGTTCTCAGCTTTGTTTCTTTTTAATCGTAGAATCTCAGATTTTTATCTGTTGATATATTTTTTTATCCGTAGTACAAAATCAAATGTGACAGCTTTGATGAAGTAGTAAGAAGTCATCTCAGAATCTAGTGGGTTATTATAAAAACCAAACTTTATCCAGTTTCACATTAAACAAGAACCTGAATATATCTTTATTTATGCAAAGTAAATAGTTATCCAGGAAAGATGATGTTATAGGTACAGGTTTATGCCTCTAGTGGGTCTTTCAACCTTAACCACCCCCCCAAAAACAATATACTATAACAAATTAGGTAACAATAGTAATAACCTTAAAGGAAAAGTAGAAAAAACTTGATTAGGTTGTGAAAATCAATAATAACCTAATTTTATGCCATAAATTTTGAGAATGGTCTTCTAGTTATAGTATAATTTGGACCAGATTGAAAAAAATCATTTGCACCTGTCCTTTCCAAGAGTACCATACACTTGTTAGAAGTACATGAGGTTTGAAAACCCCTGCTAATATGTCATAGGAAGAAGAAAAGTTAATTGGATGCATGGTTTGTGTTGAGACCACAACAGCAAGGCCATTAAGGAAACTATATATGATTTATGCTATTTATAAAAATATGTTATATAAAAATGCATGTTTTTCTCCTCCTTGATAAAGTGCCAAATACCACAGTTGGCTCACTTTGCATGAAAGAACCATGTTTCCTACATTCTTTGATGGATAAGATTTAGAGGTAAGGTCCAAAGACAAGAGAAAGGCTCAGCAGCCCTTATAAAATCACTTTTCAGCTGTGAAGCCACTGTGTAAGGCTGGAGCTCCCTGCCTATTCCTGTTAAGTGGTGGAAGGAATGAACCAATTAGAGAAGCTGATGAGATTAAATATTTATCAGAAAAACTATTGCGCTAGTTACAGTCTAAAATAGACTGAGTTTGAAATCTCTCAGTTCAAAATTCTATGAAGTTTTTACGTCTTTTAAACACACACACACACACACACACACACACACACACAATTGTGACCCATTGAGAAATTTTGCCACAAAAAGAGGGCATAGATACACTACTCGAATGAGGAAGAACATTCATTTTGGGAAACAGAAGAAATCTTAAGTTTCTCAAGGACTGGAGAATTAGAGTGCCTAGCAAAAAAATTGTGGACATACTTAAAAACCACCACCCACATGTTTGTTTTTTATTGTTGCAGGAGAACATCTGTGAGGCCAGTATACTTTTGACTCAATGGAGATGAAAGGGTGAGTAAGCGAATGGGCAAAGAGCATTCTTTGGTTAGTATAGCAGAATAGAAGTTCGGGATTTGAATTTCTGACTGAATTGATTTGTGTGACCCAGTGACCATAACTTCTTCAGCCTCAACTTCCTCTATGAAAAGGAGTGTCCTTACTAAGGCAGATACATTTAGGTTGATTGTATTGAATAGGTCACATAGCACCTAGAGTTAATCACTTTAAAAAAAAAAAAGGTAGTACTTTTTATAAACTTACATCCCTTAAATATAAATATCACTCACTTGCTTAAATAATGTCTCATCGCTGTCAGTGACCTATAAAAGTACTGAACAAAGGACTCCTGCTACCTCTTCACCTTGCTCACTACAATCCCCTGTCTTACTGGTCTTCTTTCACCAAAAACCTTTCTTTATAGGCTGATAATCCTTCTGTCTGGGGGCTGTGCTCTGTTTTGACAAGGTTCTCATCCTTGAGTATCACTGTTAAAAATGGCTTCTTGTAAAGACCTTATCACTATCTAAAGTACTCCTTCTTTATTTTAAAAGCTCCTATAATCCTTATTTTAGCAATTCTGAGGTTAATTTGTACCATGGTCCAAATTTGTAGTTCGTATGTTTGTAATGTTCCTTTTACACTATAGGCTTTACAAACAGTGAATTTGTTAATGTTGAGTTCACTGTTGTAACCCCAGTGACTATACCAGTTTTAGGCACATAGGAGACACTAACTGAATACTTATTGATTGAATTAAGGCCACTTTGAATAAATATAGGTGCTTGTGTTTTTCTTTTTGACTTCTAGAAATGATTCAAATTTGTGATTGTCTCATTCTGTACGATTCATTTATATAGAAGTAACATGAAAAAAATGCGTATGTATACCATTTTCTCTTCAAAAACTATTCTTTTTTCTATATGCATTTTTATTAATGTATATTAATTGTACCAAGGGGTTAAACCATAGCATTTCAATCATGCATATATTGTACATTGATCAGATTAACTCTGTCTTTTGCTCTCGTTTCCTAATCTCCTCTCCCCTGGCCATTTTTTTTTTTTTAAACGTAAGTGAGAATTAGTTTATTACATAACATGGGTATTGAGGGAGTTTACATTCTCTGGTATATACATAATATGATTTTCTGTTGATACTGGGTTTGAACTCTGGGCTTCATGCTTGCAAAGCTGGTTCTCTAATGCTTGAGCCACACCTCCTGCCCATCCCCTGGCCATTTTTCAACAGCTTTCATGAGTTGCCTTGTGCCACGTTCACACATAGACAAGATGTATTTCAGCATTGTTTCCCTACCCACCATTCTGTTTCTTTCGCTACCTCAACCTTGACCCCTAGAAAGTTCCTTGATTGCAGTTATGTTTTTGTATATGTGTACATGTGTATACATGTTTGTGTGTATTTATATGCATATTTACATTTTATGTTTAGATTCAGCATATGAGCGAGAACATTGACATTTTTCCTTCTGAACTTGGCTTACTTTGTTTAAGATGATGATCTCCAGTTCATCCATTTTCCTTCAAATGCCATAATTTCATTCTTTATGATTAAATAATACTCTATTGTGTATATATACCACATTTTCTTTATCGAGTACTTGCTTGAAGGGCATCTATGCTGATTATTCCAAAGCTTGACTGTTGTGGATAGTGCTACAATAAACACAAGTGTGCAAGTATTTCTATTGTATACTGACTTAACCCCTTATCCCCTATTTTTAGTTTTTTGAGGAACCTCTATACTTTCCATAGTGGCTGCACTAATTTACATTCCCACCAACAGTGAGTAATCTTGCCAACTTTCTTATTACCTGAATTCTTTTTTTTTTATTTTTTGCAGTACTGGGTTTTGAACTTAGGGCCTCGTGCTTGCTAGACAGTCATTCTACCATTTGAGCCACTCTGCGAGTCCATTTTTTATGTTGAGTATTTTTGAGATAGCGTCTCTTGAACTATTTGCCCAGGCTGGCCGTGAACATTGATCCTCCTGATCTTTCTCTCCTGAGTAGCTAGAATTATAGTGGTGTCCAGCTGTTGTTTGAATTCTGTTTTTTTTTTATTTTTTAAATTTTTTTATTATTCATTTCTCCCCCCTGCCCCCACCCCCTCCCTTACCACCCACTCCGCCCCTCCCTCTCCCCGCCAACCCCTCAATACCCAGCAGAAACTATTTTGCCCTTATCTCTAATTTTGTTGAAGAGAGAGTATAAGCAATAATAGGAAGGAACAAAGGTTTTTGCTAGTTGAGATAGATAGCGTATACAGGAAGTTGACTCACATTAATTCCTAGTGTATGTTTACTTCTAGGTAATTATTCTTTTTTTTTTTTTTTTTCATATGTGCATACAAGGCTTGGTTCATTTCTCCCCCTGCCCCCACCCCTCCCTTACCACTCCACCCCCTCCCTCTCCCCCCTACCCCCTCAATACTCAGCAGAAGCTATTTTGCCCTTATTTCTAATTTTGTTGTAGAGAGAGTATAAGCCATAAGAGGAAGGAACAAGGGTTTTTGCTGGTTGAGATAAGGATAGCTATACAGGGCAGTTGACTCACATTAATTTCCTGCGCATGTGTGTTACCTTCTAGGTTAATTCTTTTTGATTCACCTTTTCTCTAGTCCTGGTCCCCTTTTCCTATTGGCCTCAGTTGCTTTTAAGGTATCTGCTTTAGTTTCTCTGCGTTAAGGGCAACAAATGCTAGCTAATTTTTTAGGTGTCTTACCTATCCTCACCCTCCCTTGTGTGCTCTCGCTTTTATCATGTGCTCAAAGTCCAATCCCCTTGTTTGTTTGCCCTTGATTAATGTCCACATTATGAGGAGAACATACAATTTTTGGTCTTTGGGCCAGGCTAACCTCACTCAGAATGATGTTCTCCAATTCCATCCATTTCCAGCGATGATAACATTTCGTTCTTCTTCATGGCTGCATAAAATTCCATTGTGTATAGATACCACATTTCTTTTTCCATTCATCAGGTGGGGCATCTTGGCTGTTTCCATAACTTGGCTATTGTGAATAGTGCCTGCAATAAACATGGAGTGTGCAGGTGCCTCTGGAGTAACCTGTTGTCACAGTCTTTTGGTATATCCCCAAGAGTGGTATTGCTGGATCAAATGGTAGATCAATGTCTAGCTTTTTAAGTAGCCTCCAAATTTTTTTCCAGAGTGGTTGTACTAGTTTACATTCCCACCAACAGTGTAAGAGGGTTCCTTTTTCCCCGCATCCTCGCCAACACCTGGTTGGTGGTGTTGCTGATGATGGCTATTCTAACAGGGGTGAGGTGGAATCTTAGTGTGGTTTTAATTTGCATTTCCTTTATTGCAGAGATGGTGAGCATTTTTCATGTGTTTTTTGGCCATTTGAATTTCTTCTTTTGAGAAAGTTCTGTTTAGTTCACTTGCCCATTTCTTTTATTGGTTCATTAGTTTTGGGAGAATTTAGTTTTTAAGTTCCCTATATATTCTGGGTTATCAGTCCTTTGTCTATGTGTAGCTGGCAAATATTTCTCCCACTCTGGGTGTTCTCTTCAGTTTAGAGACCATTTCTTTTGATGAACATAAAGCTTTTTAGTTTATGAAGTCCCATTTATCTATGCTATCTCTTAGTTGTTGTGCTGCTTGGGTTCCATTGAGAAAGTTCTTACCTATCCTACTAACTCAGAGTATTTCCTACTCTTTCCGATCAGCTTTAGAGTTTGGGGTTCTGATATTAAGATCCTTGATCCATTTGAGTTATATTGGTATAGGTGATGTACATGATCTAGTTTCAGTTTTTGCAGACTGCTAAACCATTTTCCCAGCAGTTTATGTTGAAGAGGCTGCTTTTTCTCCATCGTATATTTTTAGCCCTTTGTCAAACAAGTTGGTTATAGTTTGTGGCTTCATGTCTGGGTCCTCTAGTTCTGTTCCACTGTCTTCATGTCTGTTTTTGTGCCAGTACCATGCTGTTTTTATTGTTATTGCTTTGTAATATAGTTTGAAGTATCTATGATGGCTATTCTAACAGGGGTGAGGTGGAATCTTAGTGTGGTTTTAATTTGCATTTCCTTTATTGCTAGAGATGGTGAGCATTTTTTCATGTGTTTTTTGGCCATTTGAATTCTTCTTTTGAGAAGTTCTGTTTAGTTCACTTGCCCATTTCTTTATTGGTTCATTAATTTTGGGAGAATTTAGTTTTTTTAAGTTCCCTATATATTCTGGTTATCAGTCCTTTGTCTGATGTAGCTTGGCAAATATATTCTCCCACTCTGTGGGTGTTCTCTTCATTTAGAGACCATTTCTTTTGATGAGCAAAGCTTTTTAGTTTATGAGTCCATTTATCTATGCTATCTCTTAGTTGCTGTGCTGCTGGGGTTCATTGAGAAAGTCTTACCTATACCTACTAACTGCAGAGTATTTCCTACTCTTTTCCTGTATCAGCTTAGAGTTTGGGTCTGATTATTAAGATCCTTGAATCCATTTGAGTTAATATTGGTATAGGTGATGTACATGGATCTAGTTTCAGTTTTTTGCAGACTGCTAACCAGTTTTCCCAGCAGTTTTGTTGAAGAGGCTGCTTTTTCTCCATCGTATATTTTTAGCCCTTTGTCAAAGACAAGTTGGTATATTGTGTGGCTTCATGTCTGGTCCTTATTCTGTTCCACTGTCTTCATGTCTGTTTTTGTGCCAGTACCATGCTGTTTTTATTGTTATTGCTTTGTAAAATAGTTTGAAGTCAGGTATTGTGATACCTCCAGCATTGTTCTTTTGACTGAGTATTGCCTTGGTTATTCGTGGCTCTTGTGTTTCCATATAAATTTAACGGTAGATTTTTTCAATCTCTTTAATGAGATGTCATTGGAATTTTGATGGGAATTGCATTAAACATGTAGATTACTTTGGGAGTATCGACATTTTTTACTATGTTGATTCTCCAATCCATGAGCATGGGAGTATTCTCTCCACTTTCTATAGTCTTCCTCAATCTCTTTCTTCAGAAGTTTATAGTTTTCCC